AGCAAATAAATTAGAAATCTTGATCATAAAACATAATTACAGTTTTAGAAGGTGTGAAAATTTTTGTTTTCTAAAATTTTGATCTTATTGCTTATCTATTCAAATTGAATTTTGAAGCCTATTCTTGATTAATTAGCTTTCTTTTCCCTCAAGAGTTATTGATTCTTATTTTAGGACTTGTTTAATAATACATCATGTCATGGTACACATCTATGGGCAGTTTACTTATTTTTTTTGTTTTGAGGGACCAGTCATTTAGCTTCACATGCTGAAAAAGTAGAATATATAGATAACTATGCTATTTAAGCTCCTTTGGTCCAGTTTCAAAATTCACTCTCTCAAAAAATTATTAAATTGGACTCTTACCCTGATTCTGTAACAGTGGAAACAGTAGGAGGATGGAGGGATAGAAACGTTGTTACCGTGTTTAATGTAATTCAAGAGAACAATTTCTTACACCATAAATGTGGTAAAGTCTCAAGTTTTAAAATCCAAATATGACTGAACTGTGGAAACTGAATTATGTTGTAGGTTATTACATTATAGCTTAAGTTTATTGTGTCTTTACTGGTTAGCAATATGTGAATTGTTTTCTTTGGATTATCTTATTTAAACACTTTCACAAGAACGTTGTGATACAGATGCTATTGTTATATGTTACAGAAGAGGAAATGGAAGTATAAAGTGGGTAGGTAACTAGTCCAAGATCTTATTCATTTGAAGAGATTTGAATGTAGACACTGAACCAGAGGCTATGCTCTTATCACAACTCTAGGAAAATGCTATTTTACATTTTGAAGTTAACATGGAAAAGTGAAGATACGTCAATCTCATCTGATTGTTAAAGGATATATTTTTCTTTCTGTTTGACAAACTGTTCCCTAAAGTCTTTTTTATTTTATTTCAGTGACACAGATTCTCATGTATCCAGTTCTACCTCAGTTCGATTTTATCCACATGATGTGGTAGGTTTATCCTTCTTTTTACGAGGTGATGTGTTTTCAGATTAAATCTGAAATATGTATTTATATAGATAGCTATAAAAGCCATAAAAATTGATGAAGTTACAAAAAAAATTTTTGCAAACTATGGTAAAATCACCTTTGCTGTCTTTGTCCTCCAGTGGCTCCCTTTTTCTAAGTCCTTTAATAAGAAACAAAAGTACAAGGTTAAGAAGCCCTGGGATAGAATATTTTAAAAGTTATTGGCCGGGCGCGGTGGCTCAAGCCTGTAATCCCAGCACTTTGGGAGGCCGAGGCGGGTGGATCACGAGGTCAAGAGATCGAGACCATCCTGGTCAACATGGTGAAACCCCGTCTCTACTAAAAATACAAAAAATCAGCTGGGCATGGTGGCGCGTGCCTGTAATCCCAGCTACTCAGGAGGCTGAGGCAGGAGAATTGCCTGAACCCGGGAGGCGGAGGTTGCGGTAAGCCGAGATCGCGCCATTGCACTCCAGCCTGGGTAACAAGAGCGAAACTCCGTCTCAGAAAAAAAAAAAAAAAAAAAAAAAGTTATTTTGGAAAGTATTTGTCAATGCTTAGAGATAGAAATGGCTGTGTTATATATAGAAAGTAAATTTTCCCAACTGTACCCAGATATGTGTTTGAAAAGTAAAACCCTCCCTACTTTTTGGCTATAGTGTATCCCTGGAAACTCCATAGGAAAACAAACATGGGAAGATGATTGTTTTATTGTTTTCTACTTTTAAATGATAGGGGAGCCTTGAGGTAGCGAAATGCTGCCTAGTACTGTGCCAGATACAGTTAACTTTTGATGCTTTCAGGGAAAAAGGAAACTTGTAAACTCGTGCATGGATGAGTTGAAGTTAAAAGAAATGTAGTATAGTAATTTCTTATGTAGCCTTAAGTGAGTAGCCTACCAAAACAAACAAACAAAAAACCACAAAAAAACAGGGGCAAGGGATTTGGAAATATAGTTAACAACAATTATAAGAGACTATGGGAAGAAATAAAGTTGCTGCCATCAGCACCAGTGCAGTGGAGCTAAGATTTGACACTGATAAGGAGGTTCAAAGCTTAAGGAGAAAAGATTATAAATATGACAGGGAGAAGAGAAGCCACTAATGATTCACAATAAGTGGTTTTAATGGATTCGCTAGCTATACAGTTAATAAAATCTTAAGATTTTTTCTAGCATTCTCTGAGAAAATCTTAAGATTTTAAATACTTTTCTAGTCAATGATTCACAAAAGGTTTATTGATTAATTTATTTTTAGTTCACTTCCTATTGTCACCTTCTATGGTTTCTGGTAATCATATTCATAAAGGGTAGCCTGGGCACAGTGGTTCATGCTTGTAATCCTAGCACTTTGGGAGGCTGAGGCAGATGGATCACGAAGTCAGTAGTTCAAGACCAGCGTGGCCAAGATGGGAAACCCTGTCTCTATTTAAAATACAAAAAAAAATTAGCCGAGTATGGTGGCAGGCACCTGAAATCCCAGCTACTTGGGAGGCTGAGGCAGAGAATGAATTGGTTGATCCCGGGAGGCAGAGCTTACAGTGAGCCGAGATTGTGCCACTGCACTCCATCATGGCTGACAGAGCAAGACTCCGTCTCCAAAAAAAAAAGAGTGTACTAGAGAAGAAAATTAAGAGGCTTAGATAACTGATAAGCTAATTGAGTAACTCTTGAATCTTGAAGATTTTTTTTTGAATAAACATATTTAATAAATATCAAAGATATTTTAAGCCTTTCAATGCTGACTTTCTTTTAGCTCTCTCTCCCACAGATTCGATTGAATAGACTATTGACCATTGATACAGATTTGTTGGAGCAACAGGACATTGATCTAAGCCCTGACTTGGCAGCTACTTACGGCCCAACAGAAGAAGCTGCCCAAAAGGTTAAACACTATTATCGTTTTTGGATCCTACCCCAGCTGTGGATTGGCATTAACTTTGACAGACTCACACTTTTGGCCCTGTTTGATAGGTGAGGTTATGTTATGATATTAACGATATGTGTAGATTTTAAGTTGAAGTGTCCTTAATTACCCACTGAGGTTTTTAACTGGTTATCATATTGGGAAATGTTTTCTGTTTTTGTCCTCTTGAGTTAAAACTTAAGGTAATAGGGCTTCTAAACATTGCTATTTTAAATCCATTAAAAATGTTTTTGTTGCAATTTTAGTACTTTATACAAAGAAATTATTTTTGTTATCAGTGAGACTCATACAACTGCTACTCAAAAGCCAAAGAATATGAGATGTTAATGATCTTAAGGTTATAGGTAATACAATCGAAAATACTATATAACAGTTATAAGAGGAAGATTCTGTTTCTCTGTTTCTTAACACTACTATATTAATGGCAAACACATGAGTCTACTGTATTACAAACTTGGTGACCAACAGCTCCTTCCAGTCAACATGAAGTAATAGGACTGGATTTATGTCCCATGTGAAACAACCAAAAATAGACAAAGTACATGAAACAGTGGTTTTCAAGACATTGGAGATGAGAAAGAAAAGGACAGTGATCCCTCAGAGATGACAACAAGTAACATGAACTCTACAATTGCCCCAGCTTAACGCTTTGAAAGAGTTTCTAGGCTGCAAGACAGGAGGGGAGAACTGAAATAGAGTCCAGCCGACTTCCTGAGTTAAGGAGTCCAGGGAGACTATGGCAGTTAGAGCCCATAGGACAGATTGTCAGAGAGGAGATAGCTGCTTAGAGAGAGAACCTTAGAGATCTACATTGAGTAACCTTGACTGTTTGACAGAGTATGGATAAGTTCCTATATGCGAGGAAACTGTCTGAGGCCAGGGAAAGAGCCATGTGAAAAGGAATAGAGGAACAGTCCTGGCAATCACACAGCAATGGGAATAGTACATTTCCCTACCAGCCAGATTGGAGATGTTTATGATTCATACTTTTTGGTGCCTTGTGTAGAATACTCAGGAAGATCTTTGAAAGTGGGGAATAATTAGCCCTAGCAGGAGCACTACCTCAGACCCACCTAACAAGCCATAAAACACAGACCTGAAGGGATCAAACTGTTTCCAAGTAACATAAAGTCTAAGAAGATTTATGGAAATCCAGAAATACGCAGCACCCAACAAGTTAAGATTCACCATGTCTAGCATTCAGTCAAAGATGACCAGATGTGCAAAGAAGTGAGAAAACATGACAAGAATAATAAATCAGTTGAGACCAAACTGTAGCTTGCATAGATATTAGAATTAGCAGACAAGAACAATAAAAACAGTTACAACTGCTTTCCAAATGTTTAAAAAGTTAACTACAAAAAAAAAAAGAAAAATATAAAAAGTTAACATAGAAGATACTTTCAAAAGTCCCAAATCAAACTTACAGAGTTGAAAACCATAATCCCTGAGATTAAAAATATACTGGATGTGATTAATGGTAGATTGAACCTTGTAGAAGAAAAGATCAGTGAGCGCGAAGACATAGCAGTGGAAACTATCCAGAATGAAACAGAAAGAAGAGTCTTCGCCCCGCTGTCCCCAGTGAAAAGAGTATAAAAGCAAAATGAGAGAAAGCTGTGGGACAACTACAGGAGGAAATAAGGAGACAAAAGATTTTGAAGAAATAAGGGTGGAGAACTTTACAAATTTGATGAAAACTGTGAACACATTCAAGAAGCCCAGTGAACCTTAAGCATAAAGTACTTGAATAAAACTACACCAAGACACACAACTACTCAAAACCAGTGATAAGATTTTTTAAATTGCAAGAGAAAAAAAGAGGAGCAAGGAAGACATCCTTTTTATTGTTGGAAATAATGGAATGAAAAGACAGTAGAGGAGCAGCTTTAAAGCATTGGGGAAAAAAAAAAAAAAAAAACACCAAAGTGAAATAAAGACATTTTCAGATCAGAAAAAATGGGAAGAATTCTTTATGAGCAGATCCATACTACAAAAAATGTTGAAAGATGTCTTTCAGGCAGAAGGAAAGTTATCTCAGATGGAAATACGAGTCTACCCAAAGGAACAAAGATAAATGGAAATGGTAAGTCACTACATGGATAAATATAAAAGATTTTTTCTTATTGATTAAATCTCTTTAAGAGTTAACTGACTGTTTAAACGAAAATAATGCATTGTGTGGTTTATAACATGTAAAAGTAAAATTTATGATAATAGCACAAAGGCAGAGAAGGGAGAAATAAAAGCATACTATCGTAAGTTTCTTATATGAAGTGATATAGCATTGAAGGTAGACTGTCATAAATGTGTATTGTAGATATTGAAGGTAGACTGTCATAAATGTGTATTGTAAACCCTGGGCTGCATACAGTGGCTTATACCTGTAATCCCAGCTCTTTGGGAAGCTGAGGCAGGAGGATCACTTGTGAGCCCAGGAGTTTGAGGCCAGCCTTGGCAACCTAGTGAGACCCTGTCTCTACAAACATATTTTTAAAAATTCTTACCAAAACCTACCCTAAGGCAACTATTAAAATAACAAAAGACTTGTAGCTAATATGTCAAAATGCGATAAGATGGATTATAAAAATTACTCTGTTAATCAATAAAATGGAAAAAGATCAAAGAACAGATGAGACAAATAGGAAACAAATGACTTGGCAGATTAGATAAAAAAGAACAAGACTCAACTCCAGGCTGCCTACGTGGAATGTACTTTAACTGTAAAAACAGAGGCTAGTGTGGTGGCTTATGCCTATAATCCCAGCACTTTGGGAGACAGAGGTGGGAGGATCTCTTGAGGCCCAGTTTTCAAAACCAGCCTGGGCAGCATAGACCCAGTTTCTACCAAAACAAAATACAAACAAATAGGTTAAAAGATGGAGAAACTATACCATGCTAACGTTAACGAAAGGCTTATTGTAGTGGCTGTATTAAAGTCAGATAAAGTAGATTTCAGAACAAAGAATATTACCAAGGATGAAGAAGGCCATTTCATAATGATAAAGAGTCAGTCCACAGGATTTAACAGTCCTAAATGTTTGTATACCTAAAAACAGAGCTTTGGAATTTATAAAGCAAAAGCTAATAGAAGTAGAGAAATGGACAAATCACAGTTATAGGTGATTTCAGCACTTCTTTTTAAATAATTGATAGACTATTTAGAAAATCAGTGAGGATATGTAGTGAACTTTAACAGTATTATCAACCAACATAAATTAGTTGACATTTACAGAACACTGCACCCATAACAAGAGAATATACATTTTCCTAACTGCTCACAGAACATGTACTAAGATAGATCATATTTTTAGCCATAATACAAGAGTCAGTAAATTTTGAAAGATCCACTGTCCAATCGTACGTAGTGGGATTAAATGGTAAATTAAAGCAAATAGAACCTTGGAAAATCCCCAAATATTTGGAAACTAAATAACACTTCTAATTAACCCATGGATTAGAGAAGATATCAAGAGAGAAATTAGTAGATGCCACTGACCTGCAGTGCTTAGGAAAATGTATAGCACTAAACACCTAGATTAGAAAAGAAAGGTCTCAAATCAATGACTTAACCTTCCACTTACTAGAACAAGAGCACATAAGCCCAACTAAGCAAAAGAAACGTAGTGGTAAGGAACGAAACAATTCAGTGAGGACACAGAGAAACAATAAAGAAAATCAAGGAAATGAAAAGTTTGAGGACATCGATTGATAAACCTTTAGCCTGCCTGACCAGAAAAAAAAAGAAGAGGAAAGACATATGAAGAATGTGAGTTATGATATCACTACAGACTGTACAGGTATTAAAAGGATAATTAGAGAATGATATGAGCAGCTATATGCAAATAAATTCAGCATTGGATAAATGAACAAATTTCTTGAAAGACAAGTTATGAAATTCCATTCTGAAAGAAGTACATGACCTTAATTGTCTTACATGTATTAAGTAAGTGGAAATTGTAGTTTAGAAACTATACCACAAAGAAAACTCTAGGCCCAGGTGGCATCAAAATAATATTCAGATGAATGAAATGGAGAAAGGATAGCCTTTTCAACAAATGGTGGTGGAACAATTGGATTTACATATGTAGAAAAATAGAGATGGACGCAGAGGTGTGTGCTCAGGAGGCTGAGGTGAGAGGATTGTTTGAGACCAGCCTGGGCAACATAGCAAAACCTCATCTCAAGCACATAAAAATAAGGAACTTGTAGCCTTACCTCATACCACATTATGAAAATGTATCATAGGCTTAAATGTGAAACCTAAAACAAAACTTCTAGGAAAATAAAACAGGAGAAAATTTTTATGAACTTGGATTAGACAAAATTACTTAGTTATGACACCAAAAACAAGATCAATAAAAAAAATTGATACATAGGACTCATCAAAATTGAAAATTTTTAAAAAGCTAAAGACAAGACATGTTCAATCACAAGGGAGGCACTATTCAGGCAGGCCAAGGATTGAAAAGAGGTCATTGGATTTAGCAAATCTGAAATTGCATAACTATCACCTAAAATCAAATAGAAATGCCAGTAACGTATTGATTTGGAAATACTATTGAACTTTTTTATCTGGTAGAACCATTAAAGGAAATAGTACAAAGATGTTTATGAATTTAATTTTTATGCCCAATTGATTGTGATAAATATGGAATTGGGTTAATAAAAAAATTTTTTAATGATTATAAAAGCAATTCCTTATTGTAGAAAATTTAAATATGTACAAAGTTTTGAAGACAGAGGCAAACCGTAATTCTTCCATGGAAAGAAGCATCATTAGTAATGCTATTTTTGATATATTGTCCTTTTTAACCTATATGTTTAATTTTTTAATAGCAGAACTTATATCCTTCTATGCTCATGGTTTTTTGTGCTGCTTTCTGTATGTAGCAGATGTGCTGAGCATTTTTTCATTTTTTAATAGTTTTTAAAAATATGACTTAGAAGTATTTTAGAGAATACTAAAGGATGTATTTGTATAACATTTTGTGAATAAAATTTTCCCAAGAAGTAATGAGATAGGTTCTTGTGTGTGTATGACATAAAAATAATCTACATTTATATAGATATATGTACACATTTATATATATGTAAATCTTGAGCATCATATTGTTTCTCTTACCATGTCAGTTTAATAAAGTATAGAATTAGCAACTTTGATAGAAGCAGATAGAGGTTTTTGTCCCTACCTTTATTCTCAAGATGTGTAACAGCCCATATTTAAGTAATTATAATAAGTGAGTTTCTTTCAGATGATTCAGAGATGAGGGAAGTGAAATCACTTAGTGCCAGAATTTTGCTACAACTTTGTCATATAACAAATGTTTTAAATTTAATTTTCTAGAAACTATTTTGAGATTTTGTTTTTTAAACATAACTTGATTCTTTGTATGCATATTTTATTTGCCATCCAAGTTGGTTAGCTCTTCGCAACCAATGAAACAGAAAAGCGGATATTAAGGAGAGTAATATTTTTTAAATAGCAATTAAAACTATGTTATATAATTGGAACTCCACAATTCACTGTATCATGTTTTATTTGTATATAAGAATTCATGTTACGTCCATATGAAACTAGTTTGTTTTAAGTATGATCTAAAACCTTGTTCAAACTCAGTACCAGAAAGACATCTCAGCATATTATGAACTTCATATTTATGTCTTCCCTTCCCTTTTTAGCATTCAGTTAATTTCTTATATTTATGATATACTTACTCATAAGTTTTTCTATCTGTAGAAATCGTGAGATTCTGGAAAATGTGTTAGCTGTCATCCTGGCTATTCTCGTGGCTTTTTTGGGATCTATTCTTCTCATACAAGGCTTCTTCAGAGATATCTGGGTCTTCCAGTTCTGCCTGGTCATAGCCAGTTGTCAATACTCACTACTTAAGGTACCAGCATCTGTTCTTTTCATGCTATGGAATTACATTTGTGTTAAAGGCAGAAGATTTTGTAATTTGCTGAATTAGAGTAAGATAGTTAGAGTAAGGCAGAAGATTTTGTAATTTACTGAATTAGAGTAAGATAATTATTTTTAGGCTTATATTTCTTGAATGTTTACATAAGATTGTATAGAGAGCAAAAGGGGGGGATATAAATCTTAAAAATAATTAAGATTATGTTTTAATATGTAAATTTATGGAAGTTCTAATTATGTAAATTAGAACTTCCTAAAAACTATTTTTTTGTATTAAAAGAAAACTGTATTTGTTAAAATAAGAATTTGCTTTTTTTTTTTTTTTAACAGTAGTAGATATTATTTTTTATTATACTTTAAGTTCTGGGTTATATGTTCAGAATGTGCAGGTTTGTTGTACATAGGTATACACGTGCCATGGTGCACCTATCAACCTGTCATCTACATTAGATATTTCTCCTAACGTTATCCTTCCCCTAGTACCTCTCCCCTTGACAGGCCCTGGTGTGTGATGTTCCCCTCCATGTGTCCACGTGTTCTCACTGTTCAACACCCACTTAAGAGTGAGAATATGCAGTGTTTGTTTTTCTGTTCCTGTGTTAGTTTGCTGAGAATGATAGTTTCCAGCTTCATCCATGTCCCCGCAAAGGACATGAACTCATCCATTTTTATAGCTGCATAGTATTCCATGGTGTATATGTGGCACATTTTCTTTATCCAGCCTATCATTGATGGGCATTTGGGTTGGTTCCAAGTCTTTGTTATTGTGAGCAGTGCTGCAGTATACATACATGTGCATGTGTCTTTACAGTAGAATGATTTATAATCCTTTGGGTATATACCCAGTAATGGGATTGCTGGGTCAAGCGGTATTTCTGTTCTAGATCCTTGAGAAATCGCCACACTGTCTTCCACAATGGTTGAACTAATTTACGCTCCCAACAATTGTGTAAAAACATTCCTATTTCTCCACATCCTCTCTAATATCTGTTGTTTCCTGACTTTTTAATGATCACCATGCTAATTGACAGGAGATGGTATCTCATTGTAGTTTCGATTTGCATTTCTCTAATGACCAGGGATGATGAGCTTTTTTTCATACGTTTGTTGGCTACATAAATGTCTTCTTTTGAGAAGTGTCTGTTCATATCCTTTGCCCACTTTTTGATGGAGTTGTTTGATTTTTCTTTTAAATTTGTTTAGATTCCTTGTAGATTCTAGATGTTAGCCCTTTGTCAGATGGGTAGATTGCAAAAATTTTCTCCTATTCTGTAGGTTGCCTGTTCACTCTCATGATAGTTTCTTTTGCTGTACAGAAGCTCTTTAGTTTAATTAGATCCCATTTTTCAATATTGGCTTTTGTTGCCATTGCTTTTGGTGTTTAGTCATGAAGTTTTTGCTCATGCCTATGTCCTGAATGGTATTGCCTAGGTTTGCTTCTATGGTTTTTATGGTGTTAGAGCTTGCATTTGTGTCTTTAATCCATCTGGAGTTAATTTTTGTATAAGGTGTAAGGAAGGGGTCCAGTTTTAGTTTTCTGCATATGGCTAGCCGGTTTTCCTAACACCATTTATTAAATAGGGAATTATTTTCCCATTGCTTATTTTTGTCAGGGTTGTCAAAGATCAGATGAGTGTAGATGTGGCATAATTTCTGAGGCCTCTGTTCTGTTCCATTGGTCTATAAATCTGTTTTGTTCCCAGTACCGTGCTGGTTTGGTTACTGTAGCCTTATAGTATAGTTTGAAGTCAGTTAGCATGATGCCATCATCTTTGTTCTTTTTGGTTAGGATTGCCTTGGCTATACAGGCTCTTTTTTGGTTCCATATGAAATTTAAAGTAGTTTTTTCTAATTCTGTGAAGAAAGCCAATGGTATCTTGATGAGGATAGCATTGAATCTATAAATTACTTTGGGCAGTAGGGCCATTTTCACAATATCGATTATTCCCATCCATGAATATGGAATGTTTTTCCATTTGTTTGTGTCCTCTCTTATTTCCTTGAGCAGTGGTTTGTAGTTGTCCTTGAAGAGTTCCCTCACTTCCATTGTAAGTTGTATTCCTAGATATTTTATTCTCTTTGTAAGCATTTGCGAATCGGAGTTCACTCATAATTTTGTTCTCTGTTTGTCTGTTCCTGGTGTATAGGAATGCTTGTGATTTTTGCACATTGATTTTGTATACTGAGACTTTGCTGAAGGTTGCTTATCAGCTTAAGGAGATTTTGGGCTGAGACAATAAGGTTTTCTAAATATACAATGATGTCATCTACAAACTGAGACGATTTGACTTCCTCTCTTCCTATTTGAATACCCTTTGTTTCTTTCTCTTGCCTGAGTATCCTGGCCAGAACTTCCAATACTGTGTTGAATAGGAGTGGTGAGTGAGGGTATCCTTGTCTTGTGCTGGTTTTCAAAGGGAATGCTTCCAGCTTTTACCCATTCAGTATGATATTGGGTATCGGTTTGTCATAAATAACTTATTATTTTGAGATACGTTCCATCAATCCCTAGTTTCTTGAGAGTTTTTAGCATGAAGGGGTGTTGAATTTTATTGAATGCCTTTTCTGCATCTATTGAGATAATCATGTAGTTTTTGTTATTGGTTCTGTTTATGTGATGGACTGCATTTATTGATTTGCATGTGTTGAACCAGCCTTGCATCCTGGGATGAAGCTGACTTGATCATGGTGGATAAACTTTTTGATGAGTTGCTATATTCGGTTTGCCAGTATTTTATTGAGGATTTTCACATTGATGTTCATCAGGGATATTGGCCTGAAATTTCCTTTTTTTGTTGTTTCTCTGCCAGGTTTTGATATCAGGATGATGCTGGCTTCATAAAATGAGTTAGGGAGGACTCCCTCTTTTTGTATAGTTTGGAATACTTTCAGAAGGTATGGTACCAGCTCCTCTTTGTACTTCTGGTAGAATTTGGCTGTGAATCCATCCGGTCCTG